CGGGAGGAAAAATTGTGCCCCGACAGCTCGCGAGAGGCTGTTTACGTGCCTCTCGTCTGACCGCGATGGGGTTAAGAAACGATAACGTCTGACATACTGACTGTTTCGCAAGGGAACGCCAGTTGATTGCCGTTTTCCTCGGTTGTCCCCGGGTAAAACTACTAGGAACGTGACAAACGACCTTCCACCAATCTTATTCCACATTCTGCGCTGTTTTTTCTCCATTTTTTCATTCGAATACGCAATCCCTCGATCGGACATTTGAAAGTTTCTTCTATTTCGAAGTTGGAGAACGAACGTTGGATGTGTCCCAGTTGAAAATAAAATTCTGAGCCTAGTAGAGCTCTGTGTTATTGAAGAGTAACGCTGCGTATCCACATGAAAGAAACTTTCTGGGGTTGAAACTTAAGCTGCGTATCCACATGAGAGAAAAATTTCGGGATTGACCCTTAAGCTGCGTATCTACATGAGAGAACTTTCGGGGTTGACCCTTAAGCTGCGTATCTAGATGAGGGGAACTTCTAAGGTTAACCCTAATGCTGCGTTTCCACATATAAAGCACACTTCCGCGAATTATATTATTCGGAGTACTGCTAAATTATATTAGAGGGTACTGCTGCATATCCATGTGAGAAAACTCTTATATAAAAGTTGCATGTCTACCACACTTGTGCAAATAATACTCTCCAACGCGCATATGTACGCAGCGTGTAACTATAATCAAGCGATTCACGCGCAAACTGTTCAAACGAAAACATAAACCGTGACCAGGAGAGAATTTTCCAATTTCATTATTTATAAGCGAGGCACTTTCGTTCTTACCGGTCACGTGTGCCTCGTCGAATGTAACCGATTAGCTTTTGTAACCGAAAGGAGAAATTCCGTGTATATACGTATACGTTATCGGAAAAATGCAAATGTCTAGATGTACATACAATTCGAACCGCCGTGCCGTCAGAGTCGGTAATCTTCTCGTCTCCTCCAGTGTCATGCGGCACACGATGACAGGATGATTAGGTCAATTCCACCGTCCAGACGATTGTTCATCGGAATAGGAAGGAAACTCTGAATGAGTGTTTTCGCGTGGAATCGCACATTCGAGACTCGTCGTCCTCATTGCAGTTCGATAGACCCTTTTTCGCTGTCTCGACTAGAGTCCTTCGAGGTTATGTAACCGCTTCGAAGGGCAGTCATTGTACTTAACGACGGTTGGGAATTTCGGGAACAAGGACCGTTCACAGTGAAATTGACCGGTTGTTATTCTCGTTGGCGTACGTTCGTAGACGTGACCGGCATCGTTGATCCCCACTGTCGTCATTTCGGAATCGTGCGATCGGTAATTTAGACCGTGGATGTTTATGCAAATCTGACGATCTCAGACACCGTTTCGTGCGTTCGTTCGATTAAAAATTTAATGCAACCCTGCACCGCCAGTCTATAAAAAGGATTAGAATCGTTGATTATCATTCATTCTCTCGATCCGATTGCTCAATCAATAATTTCCATATACCGATCGCCGCGTTATCGATCGATGATAAATTTTCGTTAAGGAACAATGTTGACGTGATCGACTCGATCTTGTCGGAATTACGTAACTAGGGGAAATACTACGTAACTGGGTACATTGGTGATTGTTTAATTAGCACGATCGGTAGCGTTACTCAAACCCGTTACGATTTCGCGTGGCCGCGAACAAAAGGCTCTTGATCGTTACGCGAACATTATTCAATCGTCGAGGTTCGAATAACGAACGGGAGTGTGTGTGTGTGTGTGCGCGCGCGCGCACGTGAGCTTGGCTGTTACCCAATGACCGTTTACTTTCTCCACGATGGAGAAAGATCTCTGGCAGTGTCCTCGCCCCCCCTCTTCCCCCTTCTGGTGGTCCTCTGGCCTCTGAACCTCGCGAAAACCCACACGTCGGTCGTCATCCTTCTCGCAATACACACACGATCGGCCTCTCCGTCCAGGTGTGTAAAACCAGCTGGAATCGAGTGCAAGTGGTTTTAGAAAGTCGTTCGCGCTCGGATCCGCGTTCGGAGCCAATGTCCTTTCGTCGTACGACGCGCGGCCGAAGGAGTCTTTCGAGGTTTTGATGAAATCCGGAAATTCTTCGGAAGAATCTTCGGGAACTTGACGACACTCTTATACTAGTTGTACAACATAGAGACGTCATCTTCGGTTAGTATTTATTCGGTTGATCTATCTACAGTTTTCTTGGCTGACGAGCCTCGGGTTTTTGTTAAGATTAATCCATGGTAGGTGAAGCAAAGTCGACTCAAACTCCAGTCAAAGTTGGGTCAAAGTTCAGCCAATATACTCTTAAAGTTCAGCCAAAGATCAGTCAAAAGTTCAGTCAAGAGTTCAGTCAAAAGTTTAACTCAACATTAACTCAACTTTAACTAAACTGCAATCCAGCTTTGACTCAACTTTGACTCAACTCTGACTCAACTTTGGCCCGGTTTTAACTCAACTTTAACTCAGCTTTAACTCAGCTTTAACTCAGCTTTAACTCGACTTTAACTCGACTTTAACTCGACTTTAACTCGACTTTAACTCGACTTTAACTCGACTTTAACTCGACTTTAACTCGACTTTAACTCGACTTTAACTCGACTTTAACTCGACTTTAACTCGACTTTAACTCGACTTTAACTCGACTTTAACTCGACTTTAACTCGACTTTAACTCGACTTTAACTCGACTTTAACTCGACTTTAACTCGACTTTAACTCGACTTTAACTCGACTTTAACTCGACTTTAACTCGACTTTAACTCGACTTTAACTCGACTTTAACTCAACTTTAACTCGACTTTAACTCGACTTTAACTCGACTTTAATTCAACTTTAACTCAACTTTAGTTAAGATAGTTCTACGTTGGTCCAAGATCATCCAAGAATAAGATTGTTCTATACATATACATGTCCTGTTGGTATCCACTTTCATGAAAAGAGCCATACAATATATTGTAGAACTGACTAATAACGAATTATTAGAACGCAGCAAGTTACACTAGTAACCTAAAACGGGGCTAATACCACGAAACAGTGGATGAGCGTTAAGAGACCCTTTCCGGGATGACAGAGGATCCTGGATGCGGGCTTGTTGAGATCCCAAGAGATTGTTCCTTTGTGGACCGGGAACAGAAGCGGGAAGGAAAGGGATATTCCACTGAAAAATGAAACGGGTGTTCCCGATCGTTCACACAGTTGGCTCTCCAGTGGCTCGTTACTCGATCCCTCGTATCTCCGAACAGTAGCAACCCTTTTCAGTCTTGCCATGATCTTCATCGAGCGTACGTGTACAGTTCTGCAATAGAATATCATACTATAGATTGTTATTTGTGAAATCCCCAGAGATGTATTACACAGGCTGACAGACTTTATATTCTTTCGGGTTATCTATCGGGTTATCTTTATATTCTATCGGGCATTATGTTCCATGGATCGTGTTTTGCAATGTATACCCAGAAAAGATTACGAATATTTCCTCCCCCATCCAGTGGCCTCACGCAATCGCCCGCCCGAAATTAATAGTCAACAATGATCTCCTGTCGTGATTTCGGTATGCTGAACGCGCTCGTATTGTCGCGAGTCGCGGGGGATTCGGGTCAAGTCCGACCTCGCTTTTACAAAAGCGGTCTTCGATGACGTTAATCCGCGTTGTTTAGTCCCGTGGCCCGGCTAACCCACTTCTTGGCCTTGAAACGGAGCAGCCGCGACGACCTCTCGGGGTCGTGTTTCTCCTCTCTTCTGTTTTTTTTTTTTTTTTTGCGGAACCGAGAACTTTCCTTGAACCCGTTAGATAGGATAGTTTCACGTAAAAGGGCGGATGTCTGCGATTCCCGTCGTTAAAACGAGCCACCGGTTGCTCGCTAACAGGAGGAGGACGACAACGGATGCCTATGTTATTAAACTAATTGCGAGCGTGCTCTTTGACGAGCAATGTGCGTGAGTTGCGATATTTGTCACGGACCACACCACTGTCTCCTTAAGTTTCCCTCTTCCTGTTTCTGTGTGTCGCAATCATTAGGAAGTTTCGGATAGAGCCAGTGTTTGTTGCGTGATTCCATTTAATAGGAATGTCGACGATATCTACCCCCACTGATTTAAATTAATCGTACAATGGATGATCAAGTGTAGACGCAGCTTAACGTTCACAGTATTGATCCAATACATCAGCACTGATTATTGTATACACTTTATTTTGCGCTGGGAAGTCGATTCTCAATTTCTGGTCACGTGGATTCTAACATTACGAAAATTCCAAGTGTATACGCAGCTGAAGAGGGCCTTTGGTTATGAAGTTGTACCAGAATTAAAATCAATCTTCTATCTCTCAACATATAAAGTCTCTACCGCAGAGTTACTTTGCCCGTCAAAAGGATTCAAGTGTATACGTAGCTTTACACAGATTTTGTTTATCAAATTCTGTTAGTGTTAATTTGTCGTGTACGATGTCGATGATTTATCTTCATTCCACTATTGTATAACTGTCTAAGTGTATACGTGGCTTAAGTACGTACGTACAGTAATGCAGCTTAAGCGTGTACGCAGCTTAAGCACTACTTTCCACGACTCGATTGTCGACCCATCTATCCCAAGAAGCTAATGTCTAGACTAGAAGTTAACTCGGTGAAAGATCTGTAACCACTTTGTCTCCGTTTCTAATTACCCAAGTCGCAATAGCGAGCCCAGTCGACGAATGTACCTGCGTAAAAACTCGTGTTAATGTTACATCAGCCGGACTGTCAATTCCGTGGTTGCGATACATACACACACACAAATACACTAGTGCGTTGCTAGTACACAAATTTGCAACTACGGCGAAACGGTTGCTCCACTTCTGGCCGCCTAACTGGCTTTTTATTACACGCCATCCCAGGCTAGATGATAGTAATCGTACGGCCATAACCCCCCCCCCTCCTCTAGCGATGTTGACAGTTCCTCTGTTTCGAAAAACCAGCTAACAGGCTCGTTTCGTTCGCTACGTTTTTGCAGATGTGCAGCAATCTGACCTGCGTGGACGACTTCCTGAATCGGGCGTTCCACAAGCTGGGCCTCGTTGTGGGTCGTCATCCCGGCTACTTCGTGGTGATCCCGGTATTGTTGGCATTCATCTGCTTCACCGGATACCAGAGGATCCATTACGAGATCGATCCCGAGTACCTATTCTCGCCCACAAATGGACCGAGCAAAACAGAACGGGCGATCGTCGAGCAGTACTTCAAGGTCAACTACAGCCACTACTTCAGCCTGGGTCGCATCACCAGGCCAGGTGGGTGTTGAAAGGAATTCGAACTACTATAGGAATCCTATATTCTATTCCTAATTACCCTAACTGCTAGGTAGCTGATCCCTAAAACGTTCAATAGACATAATGTAGACATGATCCAGAGAATTGGCTTTGTCTAGGTTACCTGGTATTCAAAATGTTGGGACCAGTTAGTATTTGGTCCCTAAAACATCCAATAGACATAATGTAGATCCGAATTTTTGTTTAACTGCTACCTAAAATGTTTGAATGAGGACCATCAAGAAGATTAAAAGATGATCGTTTACGCGAACGTGGACCGTTTACTAGCTAAAGTTCAAGGAGAAAGTGCATCAAGCACCACGAGACAACGGCTTCAACCGTCCGCTTCCTTGTTTGCCTCGTCGGCCGTGTAATTTCGCGTTACACGCTCCTCCCCTTCGTACGAATTAACCTTGTTATTAACGATACGCGCTTTCTCGTTTCATTGAGTCGTCGCTAATTGACCCCTCAGCTCGACGATGTCGTCTCTCCCATCGCGGTTTAATTGTGCACCTCTTCCCAGCCGGACCGCCGTTTAGAAGAGAAACAAAACGGGATCCTTCACGTTCCGTTTTCAGGTCGTTTCGGTCACGTGATCATCACCTCGAAGGACGGGAACGATAATCTGCTGCGCGCCGATGTGTTCGACGAGCTGATCCAGCTGGACAAAGTGATCAAGTCCTCGGTAGCGACCTACGAAGGCGGGGTCTTCACCTACGATCAGATCTGCGCGAAATGGCTGGACGAATGCTTCAGCAACGACATCCTGAATCTTCATCACATCATTAAGTAAGCATCGGTGGTCTTAGGGAGAATCGAGATATGTAGTCCAGGTGTTTTTTTGGACCGTTTCTGGTGCTGGCTGCGCGTCTTTTGTTCCGTTTACATTTTGGGATCTAAGTAGTCGGTAGCATTTTTCAGGGATGTGGAGAAGAAGGAGCTGAACCTGACCTTCCCGGTGATGCTGAACCCCGTTTCCTGGGAGATTCACATGCTGCCGGTCTATTTTGGCGGGAGCGTGATCAACGAGGACCAGGAGATAGAGTCCGTGCCGTCGATGCAGCTCGCTTACTTCCTGGCAGCTGAGAATTCACGTCAGGATGCAATGTAGGTCCACTTTCCTAAATCAGGGAACTAAGTTATTGAACTATAGAAGCCTATCTTCAGTGGATTGTGGATGTTTATGATGACGATCTGAGTGGAAAGAATGTAGAGACAATTTGGATTGGGGATACCCTATTATTCAGATACCCCAATACACAGTGCTACGTCCTTATGATCTCCTTATAGTCACCTCATCATTCTGAGGCCTTTACTTTCAGCCTTATAACTCATTTAAACATTAGAGCTACCTATCCCTTAGAAGGGGATTACATTAGAGCTATCTATCCCCATAGGAAGGGATCACATTAGACCTACCTCCGTAGGTAGCCTGTGTTTTTCATGCCCAGATGTCCTCTAAACGCCACAACCCCACAGTCCAATCATCAATCTGACTATTCACCGGACTTTTTTCGTTCTCCAATCAGCGGCGCAGCTTGGGAGGAGGCGTTCCTCGAGGCAGTGAGGAAGGTCGAGGAAGGAGGCGTGTTCAAGCACATTGCCACTGCAAGGTTCGCCTCCAGGACCCTGGAGTTGGAGCTAGAAGAGAATACAAAGACGATAGTGCCGTATTTCTCGAGCACGTTCATCCTGATGGCGTTGTTCTCCGTGGTCACCTGCATGATGACTGATTGGGTACGCAGCAAGCCTTGGTTGGGGCTTCTTGGCAATGTATCAGCGGCTATGGCCACTGTGGCCGCGTTCGGCTTATGCATCTACCTGGGCGTGGACTTTATAGGTCTGAATCTGGCTGCACCTTTCCTTATGATCGGTGAGTGGACACTTTACTTGACGAGCTGAACACTTAAAGAACCTCTAGAACTCTGGAGCATTTGGGTAAATAAGGTTCTCCGCGGTTCGAATCATCCTAGACCTTAAATTGATGAGACCAGATGACTCATCTAACTAATGTACCTCAAACATTATTCAGACCCCGTTCGGAGAAGATAATTCCCTAGGAAATACGCGTAGCGCGTTCGTTAGCGGTCCGATTCACGTTCCATTCACAGAACCCATGGAAGTAGCGATCATCATTCATCAGGAATCCAGCTCTCGATCGATTTATCAGGAAAAACCGTGAACGTCGGTCTGATTAGCATTTTCAGATTCCTCTTTACTGTGCTGTCGCGTTGTTTAGCCAGTCACAACTTCTTCCTCTCCTGTCTCTTAATTCCTCATTTTTGCTGATATTTGGATCCTCAGGGTGGTACCATCCCTTAATGTGTCTTCCCATATTTTCTTTTATATCTTGAAAAGTATTGTACACATAAAAAAACTGTTGCAATCAAAACTTAATGGGTTTTTATACTCTGTAGAACTGTGCAATAAAATGGTGAAAAATTTGTTTTTTAAATAAATAAATATATGAACAAACAAATTTTTAACAATTTCATTACACACTTTCATAGATCACAAGGATCCAATGCATTTTTATTTTAACAATTTTTGTATATCTACTGTAGCTTTCAAGATATACAGGAAAACAAGAAAGGAAATATTAACATTTAGGGGTGGTTTCACCCTGAAGACGCGAATATCAGCAAAAACGAAAAATTGCCCAATGCTTCTGTCAATACCCCTACAAAGTGAAGGTTAAAAAATAAATTGAAATTTACGGGGTACCGAAGTTCCCTTTTTAGACCCTAACCCCATGTCCTACTTCTGGACTATTACTTTGCCACATGCGCAAAGAGGTTAGGTCGGGAACATCAGTGGAGGAAATGTTCATTGATGATCCGTATACGCTGTTTGTACAACAGAAATTCCGATCGAAAGCGAATCGACGGTACGATTTCGCAACGGCGATCCAGTCGAACGTAGCCGGGCGCAATCATCGACGGTAATGAAGCGACTTTGGTCGGCCGCGTGCGCAGGCGAGCGCGACGAAAGGAAAAGAGGGCCTACGGAGAGACAGACTTCCGCTTTTCACGTAAATCACCGTACAGTCGATGGTGATCCGTTCGTGTGCTCGCTCGATCGAGTCGACACAAGAGAGGCCTGGAAAATTTCGCAAGACGAGATATTTCGTCAGCGATCGGTTGCGTCGCGACGTTTAACCGACACGCACGATCGCTGACCGGACCTAACGAATCGGAGGCACCGTACCGAACTAGACAATTTTTTTTCATTCGACAAAATTGGACTCTTCCGAAAGTCTCGATAGATTTGTAACGGAGACTGGGGTGGGCGGTGCGATCGCAAAAGGGGTTATGTTACATGAAAAATTAAGTCGGAAATATAGAATAACGGTTTTTTCGTATAATTATTCGTTACCAAAATAATCCAATTTGAACGTTTACTTAATATAGATGTATTCATGTTGACAATAAGTAGAAATGGAATGCAATGGTCAGACCGATTATATAACCTAACCTATACATACAATAACGAATTGCCTTAATATGGAGTAGTATTGCTACACCACCACCACAATTGTATCAAGACTTTTGCGCTGATCCAATAATGTTCAGCAGTGATCCTGTATCAAGTTAAGGCAGTGGCGTCGTTGATCTGTTGATTCTTCCTGGTGTCACGAGAAATTCGATTGTCCGGCGAGGAAGGCTTCCGGTGGTCGTCCTTGCTTGTAATTGAATAAACGACAACCGGGCGTTTATTAGCCCGTAAATCACCGTCCAAATCTAGACAGGGTGAATCACGAATCAACCGACCATTCTGATTCACTGCGCGCGCGAGCGCGAGCGATAAGTGCCGCCTCGTTACCACGATAATGGCACCGCCTGTCGTTTCTGTTTGCGAGACGACGAATCGTTTATTTAATTATAACACACAGCCGACTACCAAGGGTACCCCGAAAATTTCGTTTTTTTTTTAAACTACACGAGTTTGTAGGAGGACAATATTCAATTCTACAGAGTGAAACCACCCCTTAAACCTTGACATGTACTTTCCTATTTTCTTGCGAATCTAGAAAATTACAGTAGATATAAAAAAAAATTGTTGCAATGAAAGTTTAAAGGGTCCTTATGCTCTATAAAAGTGTGTAATGAAACTGTTCAAAACTTATTTTTAAAATAAACAAATAAATAAACAAATTTTTTTAAATTTCACTGCACAGTATTGTAGGATATAAAAAATCCGTAATCTTTCATCGCAACAGTTTTTTCATAACTACTATAATATGCGAGATATACAGAAAAACAGGAAAGGACATATTAAGGGGTGATTTCACTTGGAGAACCGAATATCACCGAAAACGAGGAATTTCCCAATAAATCTATCAGTGAACAGATTTTATCGATTTAACGGTTGTTGTTACTTCTGATTGAATCCAATAACTTTGAGCTTTATGGTTGGCTGATATGAATGAAGAAAAATTTTCATTTAACGTTATGGCTCTATTGTTTGCTCGTAGGAATCGGTATCGACGACACGTTCGTGATGCTGGCTGCCTGGAGACGGACCAGTATCATGAAACCGGTACCGGAGCGGATGGCCGCGATGCTCAGCGAGGCAGCTGTCTCGATTACGATCACATCTCTGACCGACATGATATCGTTTTTCATCGGGATTCTTTCGCCGTTCCCCTCGGTGCAGATCTTCTGCATTTATTCGGGTGAGTTTCTGGGATTACCCTCAAAAGCATCAATCCCTGAAAAATTTTTCTCCACTTGGTGTTCTGTCGGAAAGTCTGATGCCAAGTGAAAGTCGACTAGTATACATTTGAATTGATCTGTACATTGGAGACCTAACCAGATATAGTTAACTAATTACAGGTCTGATTAATATAGGGGGAAAAAGAATGGGGGTCCATTTTGGATCTATTATGATACTATGTTTTATTGTAGAATTCATTCTTGTACTTAAAAATAGGAAAAATGAAGTTCCTTTTGATGTACGTTCAATTGGACTATCAGACTGGACACTTAACTTCCAACCCTTTTTGTCTTGTAATTTTCAATTTCTTGCATTTTTTGATCATTGGAGTTGTTATGTCTGTCCAGGATTCGCTGTGGTCTTCACCTTCGTCTTCCATCTGACATTTTTCACCGGCTGCGTGGCCATCAGCGGTTACTGCGAGCAGAAGAACCTCCACAGCGTGGTGTGCTGTAAGGTGCAGCCTCTTTCAAAATCCTGTAAGTACTTTTACTTTGTTCCCCTTACAAAAATTTCATCATTTTTACACCATCCGATACCCTACAAAAATCAGCGTTAAATTTCTTGAGAATGATAAAAGTGGACTAAAATGGATGGTAGTCAAAAAGGGTTCCACATAAGACCTTTCACCTAACAAGAAAAGGTATTCGATCGTGACGTTTTGCGTGTGCCTAGACCTCTATGTGTATATCTAGGCAGCAAAGACGATGCGTAAACAATTAGGCGAAAGAAAGCCGCAGAAAGAAAATTGCGAAGTAGAGCGGAACGGTGAAAAAGAAATCGAAAAAAAATTCGTGTATCCTCTTTCTAATCCGCCGTTACCCTAACAGTGGGCACCTTCAATATCCCACTTGTCTTTGAAGATACAAAAAAAAAATATGAGGGAAAAGTATTATTTGGCTAGAAGGAAGAAATAAAAAAGATATTTTTTTTAAATAGGACTACATATATTTATTAGCATGGCGTAATAGTTAAGATCAAGACCAATCCAACGACCTATAATAGAATGACCTTCATATGACCGTGAGTGTGAAAAATCCACAAATATACGAGAGTAGATTTAAACAATAAAATAACTATGATACAGAGATTAGTGCAAAAATGTGTCCAAGTTGATGGACATCACTTCGAGCATTTGTTAAAATAAATTGTCTGCAAATCAAAAGCAAACGAGATATTAACGGTGCCACTTCAGATGGGACACCCTGTATATACTTGCCTCTAGGGGTAATTACCGACCGAGCGCTCTACAATGCCCTCTAGGGCCAGAAATTCGAAAACTGGACTGGATACCGTTACACACTCGCTTTCGTACGTTACGTAACCAGTTAAAGAATATTATTCGTCAGTAAAAGTGAGATGAAGAGAAGATCCCCGTTCATTTCGGTTACTACATCCCGATGTAACCGTATACAAACACTCGTAACCACGCTGAAATACACATACGAATGGAAGAGGGAACGTTCAACGGTCGAAGAAGACGTTACCCGGAACACTTTCACGGGGCCTCGAACGTATCGTTCGGCGTGTTTTTATTTGAACTTTCATTTATTTTCCGTGGCAAGGTGTACTTTCTACGGTGGAACGGGCAGGGACCCTCCGAACGCGCATTATCCTCGAATCGAGGCGCGTTCACTTTGCCCCTTTTTCGCGTGTACGGTTACTCTCGATTTTGTGAAAGGAGACGATGCGTACTCGGCGGCAATTGGGTTGCGGATTTTCATATGAATACACCTTTTTATCGGGCTTCTTTTCAAGAACTGTTCTACAGAGATGTACAGCACCTCTTAAAAATTGTGGACTGAAAAAAATGTTGGATTAAATGTTCATTAACAGGGTTAGGTGGGATTTAGGATAATTTTATAAACAGGGGTAGGTGGGATTTAGGATAACTTTATTAACAGGGTTAGGTGGGATTTAGGGTAATTTTTACAGTTTGACATACTGGAAAGAATTTATTGGGTACTGTGGCTGCCCAAAGTTTCTGGTCAAACTGTAATTTTAACGTATAGATATATACAGGGTGTTCCAAAAAGGGGTTCGTAACTTCTACGGTAGATACTACTCGTCAAATGATAAAAGGAAGTCCTGACAAACATAGGTGGAAAATTTTTCGAGTTTAAGAGACTCCTGAACTTTTAGGTTATTTTTACATAAAAATACGAGATTCTCGACGATACTACTTTCTGTTAGTGAAACGTTTTTTTAAATAAATGTTAATACATCGAATTTTTTCAAGAGCTTTAACCTAAAATTGCTTTAACCAATCCATCCGACCGATTAAAAAAGGCAAATGGCACATTCTAAAAATACAAATAAGCTTTGTGAAAGGGGGAATAACTAGATAGTTCTATCTTTAGAAATTCATTTTGCAATCCATTTCGCCCGAGAAAGCCGGAAGATCTCGTTAAGTCATCGTTATCGAATTGCTCCCTGTGATCTATAGATCCCCAGGCAGCTCGATGTGTCCCGTTACACGCGAATTACCACGCGTCCCACCGTGTCGAGGTTACGTAAGGACGATTTTCGGAGTTACGATCGTAAACACCAATTACCAAGCAGGATCCATACACGATCTCCGGGAAAAGTCGCGTGGAATCTGGATCCAAGCGTCATCGACTTTCTCTCGGTCCCCCGATGTCGTCACACACGCCTTTCCCCTCCTAAGTGTCCATATGTACATCTAACGAAAAAGAAAAAAAATATTCGAGATCTCCCCGTTATGTCAGGTACAAGCCCGGTGCGTGTTACGTTCGAGCATATAGTTAATTCGTTAGATCACTGTGGTCGTGTTATGTAATCGGTGGGTCGCTGGACTTTCTCCGTGCGTGGACACATTAGAGATGGGCAAATCTCATTATCTAGATAAAGAGTCTCGAATAACGAATAAACGATAAAAGAAGTTGTTCGCCATTTCGAATCGATTAAACGTGGAAATACAGTAAATCCTCGATGAGTATTCGAAGGCTTCTCGGCACTGAACATTAAATATTTCATAAACTAATTGCCATATGCGGTTGAAACAAATATTGTTGGCTTCAGAATTCCAATCACTGTACTAAGTCTCATTAAAAAGTCATTGTACACCTGGGGAGCCTTCTAACACTCATCGAGGAATTACTGCACCAATTTGAATGTTGCCGTTTCATTATGTATCATTCGAATAAAATTGTGCCCAAGTCTGGGACTACCTGGCTATGTCATCTCTCTGTGATTCAACGATTTAAACGACAAAAAAAAAACGTGAAACTGATCAGGGGACAGTTAAAGACCTTCAAGGTACTGTCTGCGTGACGCGCCTGCTAATACTATTGTCTGTTAGCACGTGACATTGTAGGAACAATCAGGCTCATTGGCAATCTTTGTTCTCACACCAGCAAGATGATTTCATCTTTTGTTTTCCCGCCTGGCACTTTCGGTTCCACAGTCTTATATACTCGATGAATCACTGACGAATCGGTGGACAATGATGCTATCTCGAATTTCAGCGCATCGATCCTGGATCTACAGGGCACTTTGTACTGGAGGAGTGGACCCGGATGATCCGTACAATCCGGTGGATAATCCAGAACACGGATGTATGAGCTGGTTCCGTGACTATCTGGCAGGTGCGCTAAACTGTCGACCCATCAAGGTCATCGTGATCCTGATATTCGCCTGTTACCTGGCTGGTGCAATCTACGGGCTGACGACTCTTCAAGAAGGCTTGGATCGTCGCAAGCTTTCCAAGAACGACTCTTACTCGATAACATTCTACGACCGACAGGATTATTACTTCCGGGAATTTCCGTACAGGATACAGGTACGCAGTAGATTACTTGTCTTGTTGTCTCAGACGACAGTAGAGGGTTGCTTCGATCCTCTAGGATAGCTTCAAGGACGTTGTGTACAGAATGTAGGATAGTTTATCGTTCGAAGAAGAGATTTGGCCCGGGCCAAGACCACATCAATGGATTACCTGTTCCAGGAAGTTGCCACCTCTGCTAACTAGCTTTTAGCCTTGTATCCATCTAGGGGCCCTAAAGTTAACCCCAGAAGGATTAAGTCGCCTCGTGGCCTTGATCTCCAGGAAATTGTAAAAGGTTGAGGCGCGTGGATGGACGAACGGGGGACGAAAGCCTTTCATCCGGGAATCGCGCGCAACCCTCGGTTACGACGGCTCTCGTGACACATAGCACCGGCCACCTCGCAATTATGTCACGTTCGCGCTCGTTCGATACGTCGTCCACAAAACAGCTTTCTCTCGGTGTACAGACGTCTCGGAATTGAAGAAAAGTGACGGGGGACGATTGCGTCAGACGATCCTTTCTCGACACTTGGCACTGCGATCTGGGATACCTCTGGAAAAACCCCGTCTGATACAGTCATTCGAAACTATGAAATGACGATAAAGACGATGGGGAACAAGAGCATATCCCAAATATAGGGTATCGCAATATAGGGTTATTAATACATTGGGTATTCCAAAAGAAGGTATCCCAAAATAGGGTATCCGAAGATAGGTTTATTAATACATAGGGTATCCCAATATGTACAGGGTTAGCAATTCATATGGTATCCCAAAATAGGGCTATCAATAGATAGGGTATCCCGAAAACAGGGTTATCAAAACATAAGGTATGCTAACATAGGGTCTTCGAAGATCCTTACGTTCCTTCACCGTTATGTTCCAGGTGGTAGTGAGTGGGCAGTACGACTACAGTAACCCTGTGATTCAGCAGCAAATGGAGAACCTGACGAGATCCCTCGAAGCGAGTAGCTACATCAGTAGCGCGCCAATATTTACCGAGAGTTGGCTAAGAAGCTTCCTGCGGTATGTGAACAACAGCGAGCTAAACGAGACCAACATCACCGACGAGAAGAGCTTCATGAAGACGTTGAAGGATACCTGGCTGTATCCTATAAGTAGCCTGTCCCTGGACGTGAAGCTCGACGACGCTGAGGAGCACATTATAGCGAGTAGATTCATGATCCAGGCGGTGAACGTAAGCGGTACCAATCAGGAGAAGGACATGGTGAAGGAGCTTCGCAGGATCTGCACCGAGTCTCCGTTGAATGCTAGTGTCTTCCACCCGTACTTCGTCTTTTTCGATCAGTTCGAGTTGGTTAAGCCGACCAGCATTCAGTGTATGGTGTTCGGGGCCCTGATCATGATGTTGATCAGTTTCCTCTTTATACCGAACGTTCTGTGCTGCCTCTGGGTGGCTTTCTGTATCATTTCAATTGAACTGGGGGTAGCCGGTTACATGTCTCTCTGGGACGTTAATCTGGACAGTATATCCATGATCAATCTGATCATGTGCATAGGGTTCAGCGTGGACTTCACCGCCCATATCTGTTACGCCTACATGAGCTCCAAACAGAAAACACCAGAAGACAGAGTCCGAGAGAGTCTCTACAGCCTTGGACTACCAATAGTGCAGGGTGCCGCGTCCACAATTTTGGGCTTGGTAGCCCTGGTCCTAGCTGGAACGTATATATTCATGGTGTTCTTCAAAATGGTCTTCCTAGTGATCTTCATAGGCGCCATGCATGGCATGTTCCTCTTACCTGTGCTTCTATCATTATTCGGTCCCTCCGCACCCGCGGACGACAAGACAGAGGATGTGAAGATTCAGGATGATCTAGCTTCCAAGCTCCAGCAACCCTACGTGATTCCACACCCTAGTCTTTCTTACTATCACCGCACGGGAATCGCCAAAAGTCTACAGGGCAGCCCAGCAACAAGTCTGGCTGCTTTCGAAGAAAGAGACCCTGGCCTAGGGACCAGTGAGGACAGCAACTCGACCGAGAGCAGCTCTTCCCAGAGTAGAAGACGAGAGGGTCAATTGGAGCAAGAGAACCACACGCGTCACGAGGTCTGGAGACGATCCATAGGGGTTCTATACGGTATGTCCCAGTTCCAAACAGCTGCACATCCAGTCTCCCCGCCACCTGACTACGCTGGCGCTCTGCAAGAACTTCAGGCTGACCAGGATCGTCGCGCCGTTCGAACGGTGCCCTTCGTCGGACCTTATCCCGCGCATCGACCAACGAATCACAGAGATCACAGGAGAAGCAGATCCTATCACAATATCCATCACTCGTCGAGGTACTTGACTGATCCCCGGTATCCTTAAAGGATCCGGTTACCAGTGACTATGCACGCAGCCGGCAGAGCCGGGAGAAACTTTGTTTCCCGCGGACTTTCGCCTCTTTCGACTGACCAGGAGAGTCTGGTCGCTCTGGGGAAGCGAATGGAGGCCAAGTTCCCCGGCTCTCTCCGCGGAATCACCGAGGGGCTTCGAGAACTTTGAAAGAGGATTTCCTTTCTGGAGAACTTTTGGCTTCTAGCTAGGATGAGGTCAAAGGGGCTCGAGGAATTTGAAGACTACTAAGGCTCGATCGCCGAGCACGCGTGTACCGGACCATCGAATCAGAGACTTGGGGTGTCCCAAATAGTGTATCCCTATATAGGGTGTCCCAAAATAGGGTATCCCAATATAAGGGTTATCAATACATAAGGTATCTCGGAATTGGGTATCCAGAATAGGGTATCTCAATATAGGGTATCCCAAAATGGGGTTCCCCAATATAGGGTATTCCAAGATAGCGATCGAATCAGAGACTTGGTGTTGAAGTGGGTGGAAAGAGACACTTTTTTTAGAATGTTAGACGTCATGTTTAGAATGGGAGCAGAGAGATTGAGTGGCCTTTCGAATCGGTTCTACAGGTCTGTAATTTTCTTCACATCGTTCTCTCGATATTTTCTCTGGTCTGCACTCTCTAGGATATTTATGTAATTTATGGAGTGGGATTGAAGTAAAAATCTACGCGGAGACCTGGGAACCTGATTCGTCGTAACGATAGAGAAACAAAAAAAAAAAAAAAGAATGCATAGTAACGATAACGTCGAAAATCCCTTCGATTTATCTACTATATTTTTTAACGAAGTTTGTACGAGTGAATTATATCTTAGATTACCAAATGGCAGTGTGTGTTGCCGCGGACGAATCGACCGATGAAACATAGTGTTTAAGAACCGAACGACTACCTGCTCAACCGATATCAAAGAAAAATAAAACGTTGGACCGGAAATCACAAAGAAAATGCATTACATGTACGATTCTTCGTGCCTTACCGAGAATTGTGGTCCAATAAAAAGCAGATGGAATTACCATGGATTTTTCCTCGAGGCAAGAATGAACCAAAGTCTGATCTGTTTATGAATAATGGAAGCGAACGAGGGTGTGCTGCACATTCGATATGGAACTTAGCGTGAGTGTATGCGAATGAGTGGAATACATTTGACAGAGACTAGCAGCTGCCATTGAACCAACTGTTATAAAACGAAATATATTCTGGTAACAACTTTCCGATTTCACTGGCGAATCCACAAGTTCCTGGCCTTCTTTTATAACTCGCAGTGTATGGTTGTCAACTACCAAGCGTAGAGGATCATGGAACCTGTCTAATTATTCACCGTCGGTAACCAGTCGACGAAGAAGGAAAAGTTTTCATCGAACTGGTTGGTATCCCTTCTTTATCAACTGTATAAACGAGCTGACGGTAAGGTAGGTTTATGCAGGGGCCTAGTATGCAACTATTCCTGCATCCTTGTCCAACCGGAAGTGTCACTTGGAGTCTGTACCCATTCCTCAAGAGAACAATTTTCGACCATTATTTTTCCTCCGTCGTGATTTTCAATGGTAAAGATAGTCAAAAGGGAGAAGAATGCACCCAGAGGAGGACGATACCAATACCGGAACCTTTTGGATACCCTTTAGCTTCCGGTCATGCATGAAACATCAACTTTTATAGTCGCCCCTTTTTGGATATTGCCTTTTCCGATCTCTCGGCGATCTTCAAAGGGCCTTCTGCACTCAGCGATCACTCGAAGGTATGCGGAATATCTCGATATCGTTTCTTACATCGAGAAACACAGGTGTTCTTCAGCGCTGCGAGAATTCTTTCAAAGGCTCCAGGAAACTTCGAAGACCCTAGCCGCCTCGAACTTTGCACCATGAGTCCTGGACGATTCTTGAAAGTTGCGTGAACTTTGTTACTGTTCTATCAGTTCATCTTCATCTTCTGGATCTTGATCGATCTATCTACCTTCATCTGGCAATATAGACGAAAGGTTCTATAGCAATAACAATAGCGCCACTACCTACTTCTTTAATCTGATTTTATCCTTGCCTGAATCTATTCATCTGGATTCCAAATTTTCGGTGAGGTAATAGATAAATCGATTCACCTTTACCTGGAGGCCGAGAACCGTCGCGTCGTCTCCTCATATATCATCGACCGAGAACATCATTCCGGGTTGACAACGGGACGGCCGAGCGTCAACAACGTTATTGGACATGGGGCGGAGGGTCCAATCAAAGCTGTATTCATAGAACGGGCTATATGTTGTCAGGGGAGTCTGGTGCCCGCAACTTCCCACCGCAGCTCAACAAATTGCCAATTTTTTTCCACCTACCCCTCCTCCTCCCTCGTTTTTCGGTTCCTCCGGGTCAATCCGTGACTAATTGCCCCGCACTTCGGCCTGTTGATTGCCTCCGTTCGTTCCTCCGTCCGAAAGAACCATTAGTCACACAGTTGTATTATACATGCACTTCGGCCTGTTGATTGCCTCCGTTCGTTCCTCCGTCCGAAAGAACCATTAGTCACACAGTGAACCGTATTCGTCCATTCTGAAATCACTGGTCGAGGTGTCGGTGTGTGTCTTGTACACCTGCGTCCAAGAAAGTGGGTATATTCATGGCGGGAGATTTCAAGGTCTAATTAATTTTTTTAAACGGAATGCTATATTTTTTTATACATAATATGATAGCGTTTTTTAAGACATGTTCAACGATATGTCGCATGATGCCATTGAGTGTAGTGGGAGGCGGTGGAGGCTACAGTGTTCTATTATCCGAACTTTTAATGTTTGCATGGACAGGTCTTGCTGTATCATTGAAACTATAGTGTCATTGAGTTTTCATGAAAGGTGACCTAAATATCATAAATATTAGCTGCATACAGGGTGGGTCATTTAAATCGATCTTCACTTCTTGAGAAGTTGTTGTTCAAAATTACTTACGTTCTTCAGTCGAACTATGAATACTGGTCAAAGGGCGAATTCGACGTTAGAGGATCATGTCCAAAATCGTCGATCCTCCAGGTAATAGAAGGGTTATTTGTCTTGGATCAGATTCTACTATCCTGTAACTCGATCAGGGATTCATTCCTGGTCGAATCTCCATCCGTTTGACGACATCCAGTCCACAAAGGGTCCGATTGTCGTCGAAGTTGGAGCGATTTCCGAGGAATAATTCGCGGGCTGCGACCGCAAAAGGAGGAGGAAGGGATCCTACTGAAAACGCGTCGACTGAATTATTAATACGGGCCACGAACGTTTCGAGTCCTCGCCTCGTTCTTCGAGGCTCCCGCGTCATCGTCGAGAATCCTTAGGCGAGTTCCCTCCCCCCCTATCTGGGTATAGGGGAGCCTGACGAGTATCCTGACAAGCAGCCTGTTGCGTGACCCGGCCGATCAATATCTGTACAGGCGCAACAACCGCAACCGCACCTCGTATCTCCCTAACGGACTCGTCCCGTTTCACGTCCTCCGTTGGAGCTCCTCATCCTTTCTTCCTCTTGTTTCTTTCCTTCCTTCTGTCGCTCTTGGAGGGGAAAAGGAATTCGAGACGAGGACGTGCCTTGTCGACTCGAGCACCTTTGCGTTTGCTCTCCTTGTTAGCCGTCGTATTTCCGGGCTCTGGTTAGTGTTTAACGTCTTCCCACGTGGGTGGTTGGAACGTGGTGCTTTTTTAACGATACCTGGGATTTTTCAGAAAGACGTTAGGGGCTCTTTAGAAGTATCTGAGTGGTTCTAGAGTATGGAGGGCGGGTCCATTGGATTCTAGGATCTACTAGGACCCTTGAAGAGCTTAAGAGACCTTCCGAGGCCCCTACTTTCCAACTAGTTCAAGGAGTCCAAAGAGTCCAAGTAGTCCCAGGGTATCCAAATAATCCAAATAGCCTAAATAGTCCAAATAGTCCAAGTGGGTGAAGTGGATATTAGGACTTGTCAATGGAGTCCATGCATCTAGGTCCTATCAGTGATCTTTAAGAGTGTTTAAGCAGCTAGAACTTCGTCTGGTGGATCTCTGGGATCTGAGAGATCCTCGATGAATACTAATATTTACGGTGGTCCCCGGAGGATCTATATGATCTACAGTCTGTGGGGACATCAGGCACCATAACTGCACTTTGGTAATATCAACTTTTCATAAACGGGACGCAAAAGTGCCCTTTTAAATCGGAATGCTAAATGCACAGTCAGAATTATTTACGACACCACTTTTCCTGCCTCCGGAAATAATTACGCGGCTAAAGGGCTTGACCCGTTTCTCCCACGTTGACGTCAAAACTCGTGCTCAATTTCCGGGACTCGTGGGGAATTTTCATTTCTTGGCGAACACATACAGAGTCAGAGAGCAAAATAAAAAAAAAAAAATACTAACGCACAATTCCCAGGCGCTCAAAAATATGCCAGGGTGGTTTTAATTCTCCGCCGTTGCAAAGAAACCCGGCATGCCCCATACATCCCTTGAAACTCTTTACTTTTCCCACGGATTAGATAAGTAATTACGTACGTAGTTACGGAGACACTCGTGATGCACTCTCTCGTCGTGGCACCTAGCCTCATGAATGTTTACCAGGGGCAGAACTTTAGTCGGCCTTCCCGTTAACTTCGTTAATAGCTACACACCGACAAAACACCGTTCTTCTGGACGTGATAATTAGTCCCGTACTTACTCGGGTTCTGATTTGAATTCCAAAAATATCGTAGTCCAAATTGCCACCAGAGTTTCCAATTTGTCTGAATTAGAAGTGGCCTCACCCAATAGGGGTCTAGCTTTGCTATAGTCTTACCGATCAGTCAGACTCCCATGGGCTGAAATAATAAACTAAGCGATCATCTTGGTTTTCGTTATACGAATTAATTTCGACATGAATTTCAAAATCACTACGGTGTAAATCATTGCTAATATTTGTGGTTAGTCGCCCTGAATCAGGGTCTGCATTAAAAGTGTCCTCACCCAATAGGGGTCTAACTTTGCTCTGTAGTTTTGCTGATCAGTCAGATCCCCACGGACTGCAACTGTAAACCTGGCGGCCATCTTTGTTTCCGTTAGATGACTTAAGAGGAAAAGAATTGCCCTAGTACTTTAATCGGTTGAGAAAACCCTAGTTCGACTTACGCTCGTATTTTCCTCCTGGACAATGTCCCCTAAAGGATAGATGGTAAAAGACAATTGTCAATATCAGAGAAGTTTTCAGAAGTTGTAGTTCGAGTCGAAACTAGCCCCTCCACTGTCACATAAGACGTGCACCGTTTCTCGTGTTTCCAGGCGGAAGCACGCGTCGTGAAATTCCGGTT